GCAAAGGTACAACCTGTTATGACCGAAAGCGAAATAACCTCTGCTTTTATTCAAGCTCAGGAGCCCGAGTATTACGAAAGAATGTTGCCTATGATGGGACAAAAGTTTTCGAAGCTGATCAGAATGGGAGAAGCCATATAGGATGGCCTCAAGTCTGGAAAGGTTACAAGTCTCACTGCTTTGCAAACCGCCAACAAAGCCTCGACGTCTATGGCCACATGATTCGGTAGGAAAAAGAAAGAAGACGTGTCTGCTGTATCTTTTATCCCGAGGCCAAGACCACAAAGGTATTTTGGGTTCGGAAACTCCAACAGATTCCCCACCGCAAATAATTACCAACCATCTCCACAAGCTCCAATCCCAATCTACTATGCACAACAAAACTACCAAGTACCACCGCCTATCTACCAAAATCAACCACCAACCTACCAAAATACACTACCAAATCACCAAGCTAATGCACCAATCTACCAAAATCCCGGACAAAACAACCCAAATGCGAACAACCTGCATTGCCCTAACCTCGAAAGAAAGCCTCCCAGAGTTTTCACTCCTTTGGCAGAAACACGTACCCAACTCTTTGAGCGTCTAAGAGCGGTAGGATTGATCCAACCAGTAGACGCAAGGACAATTAATCCCACAACAAAGTTCTTTCGAGCGGATCAACGATGTGCCTACTATTCTAGAGGGGCAGGACGTGATATAGAAGGATGTCTCAATCTGAAACATAAGATTCAAGATTTGATTGATAACAAAATTATCACTCTCCAGGCTCCCGCCCCCAATGTCAACCATAACCCATTGCTGAATCATGGAGGAGCGACCATAAACATGATTGAAATAGATGAAGATTTGCTCGCTAATGTGACTACCAATGAAGAAAATGTCAACTCACTCATACCAACGGTGGCCTCATTGACCATAAAGGCCCGTCCAGAGTTTGTTGTAATAACTGCACCTCATCAGGCATTCGCTTTGGCAAAAGAAAAAAACAATGATCAGCCTAAAGAAAAGTTTGTTGTCCAGGTAGGTACAACACATGAGATGACACATTCTGGAAAATGTTATGTTTCGAAAGAGCTAGCTCAGGAAACACGAAGAAAGGAGAACTAAAAAAGGCCGATCACAAAGGGTGAGGCTGAGGAGTTTTGGAGAAGAATGCAACCTAAGGAGTATTCCATTATCAAGCATTTGGAGAAGACTCCCACCCAAATTTCTGTTTGGGCTCTATTAATGAGTTCTGAGTACCATAAAAAAACACTATTGAAGGTACTTGACGAAGCGTATATACCGACGGGAACAAGTGGTGAGATTCTGGCCACTATGGTTAGTCTTGTCATTGGGAGTCACCAAATCTCTTTTCGAGAAGAGGAGTTACCAATCGAAGGCGTGATGCACAATCGTGCCTTGTATATGACCGTCAAATGTAGGGACAAGTTTGTAGCGCGAGTATTTATTAATAATGGCTCAAGACTCAATATCTGCCCATTATCAACCCTTACTCAGCTAAATTATGATGTAGGGAAAATCCGTCAAAGTCGCATGAATGTAAGGGCGTTTGATGGTTTGCAAAGAGAGACCATGGAGGAAGTAGACTTGTGTATCCAAATGGGGCCTGCAGAATTTGTCACTGACTTCTAGGTGATGGGTATATCTACAAGCTACAACTTATTGCTAGGAAGACCATGGATCCATGTTGTTGGAGCAGTCCCATCTACATTACATCAAATTTTAAAGTTTATCTGGGAAGATAATGAAATCGTCATCCATGGTGAAGGGAGTAATCATAGTTACCCTGGCTTCTCCATTCTAGTTATTGAAGAGTCTTCTTAGGGTACTGACTTTTACATGGTGGAGATAATGAATGCTACCTTTGAAGATACGACACCACAAGCACCAATGCCGTCAATATATAAAATGCTTGCCATGACTATGCTAAGAAGCAGTTTTGAACCTGGGCGTGGGTTAGGTAAGAATTTGGATGGCATATTCGAACCTCTTTCTATCCCACTTCAAAATTTCCACTTCGGCATCGGCTATACCCCAATAGAGGAAGAATTGTTTAAAGCAGATACGTGGAAGAAGCATAACTGTGATATACCTAAGCCGATTCCAGAATTGTACCAGTTATTTGTTGCTAAAGCTTTACAGCTTGACATTGATGGTCTAGTGGAAAGGATGGGAAGATTGTTTGATGAAGAAGATTGTGTTGTGATCTCGGCAGAATGCACCACAACACCCAATATCCGAGATGTCGAACCTGGAGAGATGCTACAAAATTGGATGGACACTCCATTTATGATCCATCGAATGGCTTGGTAGACAAAGACAAGATTTGAAGTTTTATTTTTGAAAATCGGTGTTTTTCGGACGAGGCCCGAAACCACCATTTATGTCACTTTATTTTTTCATCATAATGTTAAAAAGGAAATGACTCATGACCAAAGTTTGTACGCCTTTTTATAATTCCAATGAAAGCCTCGTTTATTTTAAATTGATTATCTTGTCTTTGTGAATTATTTTCCAATATATACATTTAAAATCTTTCTATCTAACATGGTTGATTTATTGTTCTTTTAAGTAAAAATGAATCTAAACCTGCCAATGTCATGACATGTCACAAACACAGCGAACCAAGTAAGGCCAATGAAGATGAATGTGAAGAATATGATGAGGAAACCATGATGCCTGAACATCTCACCGAGGACTTGAGACAACTTGAAAATGATGATAAGCCCAACCTGGATGAGACAAAGAGAGTAAACTTAGGAGATGACGAGTCGGTTAGAGAAACTCGAGTCAGTGTCCATTTAACATCGACAGAAAGAAAAGAATTGGTCAAACTACTCAGATAATACATTGATGTGTTTGCCTGGTCTTATGATGATATGCCAGGGTTAACCACCGATATTGTTTCCCATAAGCTGCCTATCAATTCAGAGTATTGTCCGGTAAAGCAAAAAACCAGAAAGTTCAAGCTCGATCTAAGTTTAAGGATAAAAGAAGAGGTCATGAAGCAAATTGAATCAAAAGTCGTTGAAGTGACCAAGTATCCCACTTGGCTGGCTAACATTGTTCCAGTGGGGAAGAAAGATGGAAAAATCAGGAAATACGTGGATTATCGGGATCTCAACAAAACTAGTCCAAAAGATAATTTCCCCTGGCCGAATATCCACATACTAATCAATAATTGTGGTAAGCATGAGCTGCAATCTTTTGTGGATTACTTTGCGGGATACCACCAGATTCTAATGGATGAAGAAGATGCAGAAAAAACATCATTCATCGCACCTTGGGGAGTCTACAATTATCAAGTGATGTCGTTCGGCCTCAAGAATGCTGGAGCCACTTACATGAGAGCTATGACCACCATTTTTCATGATATGATCCATAAAGAAATTGAGGTGTATGTGGACGATGTCATGATAAAATCCCGCGAGAGTTTGGATCATCTGACACACTTGGAAAAGTTCTTTAACAGGTTACGTAGGTATGATTTGAAGTTGAACCCAACCAAATGTGAATTTGGAGTACCTACAGGGAAGTTACTCGGATTCATAGTTAGCAGAAGAGGTATCGAGCTTGATCCTTCCAAGATCAAGGCAATTCAAGACTTACTCCTCTAAAGACCAACAAGGAAGTAATGAGTTTTCTAGGGAGACTGACTTACATCAGTCGATTCATAGCTCAATCAACGGTGATATGTGAGCCCATATTCAAGTTACTACGAAAATATGTGCTAACGAAATGGACCGAAGAATGTCAGAAGGCTTTTGACACCATCAAGAATTACCTTTCGAATCCACCAGTGTTGGTGCCACCACGTGTAGGCAGTCCGTTACTATTATATTTATCCATCTCAGATAATTAATTTGGTTGTGTGTTGGGACAACATGATGAGACCTGAAGAAAGGAGAGAGCTATATATTATTTGAGCAAAAAGTTCACATCCTATGAGGCTCGTTACACCCTTTTAGAGAGAACTTGTTGTGCTTTGACTTGGGTTGCTCAGAAATTGAGACATTATCTGTTGGCTTATACAACACATCTCATTTCGAGGATGGACCCGCTCAAGTAAATATTTCAGAAAGCAATGCCCACAAGAAAGCTAGCAAAGTGGCAAATGTTGTTGAGTGAGTTCTACATTGTGTACATGACTCATAAAGCAATCAAGGGGTAAGCCTTGGCAGATCACCTTGTTGAAAACCCAGTAGATGAAGGATATGAACCTCTTAGAACATATTTCCCTGATGAAGAAGTATTTTTTGTAAAGGAAGACATATCAGAATCATATCTAGGATCAGGAATTGGAGTAGTGTTGATATCTGAATCGGGGCAACATTATCCAGCAACAACAAAGCTTAGATTCCGATGCACTAATAACATGGCTGAGTACGAAGCATGTATTCTTGGAATTAGAATGGTTCTTGACATGAATGTTCAAGAATTACTGATAATTGGTGATTCATCAAGTTCAAGGAAATTAGGCCGTGAAGAATCCTAAAATCTTACCTTATGTACAACTGGTACGGAGGTTATGCAAAAGATTTAGGAAGACCGAGTTCAGACACAAGCCAAGAATACAGACCGAGCTTGTTGATGCCCTCGCAACCATATCGTCCATGATACAACACCCGAAAAAGAATTACATTGATCCTCTTGAGATAGGTTTAAAAGAACAACCGACACATTGTTCACATGTGGAAGAGGAATCAGATGAATCCATGGTATATCGACGTGAAAAGGTACTTAAAAGTTGGTGAGTACCCGAAAAAAGCGACAAGTGTTCAGAAGAAAACAATCTGAAGAATGGCAAACAACTTTTTTTTGAATGGAGAGCTCCTTTATAGGAGGACTCCTATCTAGGTTTAATAAGATGTGTGTATGCTGTAGAAGCCACTAGATTGCTTGAAGAAGTGCATGCTGGAGTGTGTAGGACACACATGAATGGGTTTATGTTAGCACAGAAAATCTTAAGGGGGGGATACTTTTGTATGACTATGGAAAATGATTGTGGTCGATTTGTCCAAAAATGTCATAAATGCCAAGTACATGGAGATCTGATCAAAGTACCTCCCCACGAGCTCAATGCGATGAGTTCCCCTTGGCCATTTGCAGCTTGGGGCATGGATATTATTGGACCGATTGAGCCTGCTGCCTCAAATGGGCATAGGTTCATTTTGGTCGCCATTGATTATTTCACAAAGTGGGTGGAAGCTGCTTCCTACAAAGCTGTGATGAAGAAAGTTATGACCGATTTTGTTCACAACAATTTGATATGTCGTTTTGGAGTTCTAGAGTCTATCATCACAGACAATGGAGTAAACCTGAATAGTCATCTGATGAAAGAGATATGTGAAAAATTCAAAATTATCCACCGCAATTTAACTGCATATCGTCCTCAAATGAATGGAGTTGTGGAAGCTGCTAATAAGAACATCAAGAGGATACTGAGAAAGATGATTGACAACTACAAATGTTGGCATGAAAATTTGCCTTATACTTTGCTAGGTTATCGCACCACAATTCGAACCTCAACTGGAGCAATTCCTTATCTATTGGTATACGGAACAGAAGCAGTGATACCAGCTGAAGTTGAGATACCATCTTTAAGGATTATTCAGGAAGCTGGATTGAGTGATGTCGAGTGGGTTCGTGATCGATATGAGCAGTTAACATTGATTGATGAGAAAAGAATGAGTAATGTTTGTCATGGCCAGTTGTATCAACAAAGAATGACTCGTGCTTTCAACAAGAAAGTAAGAGTTCGAACATTTGAGGTAGGCCAATTGGTGTTGAAACGCATTTTCCCTCATCAAGACGAACACAAACGGAAATTTGCACCTAACTGGCAGGGACCGTTTGTTGTCCACAAAGTACAATCAAGAGGAGCTTTGGTTCTAGCAAAGATGGACGGTCGGGTGTGGCGCAAAGCTATCAATTCAGATGCCGTTAAGAGATACTACATTTGAAGGATGATACTTCCTTCCTTCATTTCCTTGTAATTGCAGTTTGTTTGTAATCATCATTGCCTTTATGCCTTGAACATTCCCCTTGTAACGAACTACGTCTGACCTGAATTCTCAAGAATAAGATACGTAGGCGGTCTATGTCGGCCTTAGTCACCCCTTCATCCATTTTCAACGTTTCCTTATCAAAATTTTCTATTCTGTCAATCCTCAAGGGGGGAACTACGTTTGACTTTATTCTTGCCTCAACGGGATACGTAGGCGCCACAAGGGCTCGATCATATCTCCCATAAGATTTCTATTTTCCTTTATAATAGAAACCAGGATAGAATTTTTGAGTCCCACTCAAAAATTCTCAAGAGGTGGCTCAAAAATTCTCAAGAAGAGGATCTCTCCAACAAGTCAAGACTTAAGATATATTAGAAGTTGCAACTGGGACAGAATTTTTGAGAGTATCTCAAAAATTCTACAAGAAGAGTTATTTCCTACAAACAAGGGTCAAATATCATATCAAAATGTGCAACTGGGAATAATCTTGAGAAAATCTCAACATTTTTGCAAGATATCATGACTTCTGTGATCACTATCAGATTTGTTTTTGAAGCAACTAACTGGGACAAATTTTTTGAGAAGGACCTCAAAAATTCCATCAAGGATACCCAGACCTTCGAAGTCAACTTCAACTGCCTCAAATTGACATGTCCTTAAAAGGTTTTAAGTTGTCAGCAAGTTACCTCTCATGCCAAAATCTGAGACAAAGAATGTTTCGTTCGTGTCGAGCATGTCGTGACAATTAAGTGGCAGAGAACTTTTCAAACCATTTTTCAAAAACTTCTCACCTAGCAAGTGTTTTAATTTAAATATGATCTTGTGTTCTGTCTACTGCGGTTCATTGGATCTACCAGACAAAGTTCAAGAGATAAAAAGACCAGGAGCAAGGCGACTTCAACACAGATCAATGTTCCAAAACTAACATGTTTTTGTGGATGCAGGGTATAATAAGATCATCAAAGGAACTATATTTATCAACCAACTAGTTCAGGAGAACATATCCAGCAAATATCAATTAGTCAGTGTAACATCTTCATTTGATTAAAGAGGTATTTCACAGATTAAAGAATAGTATCTACCGATTAAGGTTGCGAGATACCGATGAAAATGATGTTATGATCAAAAAGTACCTATCATTATATCAAATATTGATGAAAGACGACATTCATAGTCAAATTTATATCCAATCGCCAAGAGGACCATTGCATATTCAAACTGCCAAGAGGGCCATCATATTCAAACCTCCAAGAGGGCCATTCATATTCAAATTGCCAAGAGGGCCATCATGTTCAAACCGCTGAGAGGGCCATTCATATTCGAACTGTCGAGAAGGCCATCATATTCAAATCACCAAGAGGGCCATTACATATTCAAACCTCCAAGAGGGCCATTACATATTTAAACTACCGAGAGGGACATTCATATTTAAAATTGCCAAGAGGGCCATTACATATTCAAACCGCCAAGAGGGCCATTGCATATTCAAATTGCCGAGAAGGCCATCATATTCAAATCGCCAAGAATGCCATTGCATATTCAAACCGCCAAGAGGGACATTACATATTCAAACTGCCAAGAAGACCATTGCATATTCAAACTGTCGAGAAGGCCATCATATTCAAATCGCCAAGAGGGCCATTGTATATTCAAACCGTTGAGAGGTCCATTGCATATCCAACTGCTGAGAAGGTCATCATATTCAAACCATCAAGAAAACCATCAACATATTACATTAGTCTATTTTACTACTTCGATATTAAAAGAAGAGTACAACGAAGAGTCATGTCTCAAATATGAGATACAAGCTTTATTTGATGTCAAATATTCAAGGGGAACAATTAAGTGCCAACATGGTAAATGACACTATCTTTCCATTTGGATTATATTTTACACTAATGAGTTTTATCTCAGTCTTTATCGAGAGCATCCGAGAGGATGAATACTCAAATCAAATCACAGGTGCGGACAACATCGAAAAGGATGTAGCACAACGTGGAACTTTTTCTTAGCAGCGAACCGGGACATATCCCAAAGAGGAGTATCAAACTCTTAGGACGCAAGCTTGAGGAGCGACTTCCACCACAATCAAACCACACCCCTATCAAAAGGCATGTGGGCATTTCCTTGGGTTTATTAGTTTCAATTTCGCATCCGAAAAAGTTCCCACTCTCACCGGAGGCCGCTTTCCAATCTGAGTGACAATGCACCAAGAGTTTTGGAAATTATGTTAGTGTAAGTTATTAATTATGGGTGTGAAGCATGCCACATTCATGACTAAGAGGTTGCAAGCCTCTTTTTCATACTCGACTTACTTGTCACTCTTCCAGAAACGAAGGTTATCTAGCATAATAGATTTCCTTTTTAATCGATCGAGTCGAACTACAAACAGCCTGATTCCTAAGGTATAAGGATATGTAAGCGGGCTCAATATTGAAAACTCGGCTGTATTCTGACATTCTCTCTCAAATCTTATTCACGAGCTTTTCGGTCTCTTCATAATTCGATATCTAGACAACTTTTGAATTATTTCATAAATTGTGTGTCAAATAAAGCGTATTGAACTACAAGTGACCTGAATTTTCATGTAGCCTGAGATAAGTAGAAGTCCCATTCCCGGGGTCGGCCATAATTCCTAAAGTTTGTACCAAAATCTCTTTTCTAGATGAAGATGCGGTCGATCAAAATTGGATTCGTCAATTTCATTTGCCTCGAATTTCTTTCATCAATCCAAGTCAAATGAGGGACAATTGTTGACACCCAATTTTGAATCTCCACAATATAAATTAATCATCGAGCTTCTTAAATTCCAAACGATTTGAAATAATTAGTTTTATAAAGTTCAAAATATTTTTTCAAGTATTTAAAGTAATTTTAGTCGCTTTTTAATTTTTAATAATAAATATGTTTTTATTTAATTAGGTACAGTTTATGAATATTCCAAAATCGTCTCAAAAATATTTTGCATTTTAGTCAAATATTTTAAATTTAGTTTACTGTAAATTATAGTTATAATTTTGAGTTAATCAAATCGGTTAATTTATAATTAAGTTAATTATTTTATTTACTTAAGAGTAAGAAGCTCATTAATTAATTTGTATTAATTCGTCTTGTTTAAGTTTTGACCAAATTCATCGATTGAATTCGATTTGGTTACCATTGAAATTTATTTGGGCTATTACTCCTAATCGATTTATTTCAACCCTTTGCAAGAAACCAATTTGGGCCCTACTTCTAAATTTTCAGCAGCCCATATTGCCTCAAATTTCCAGCAACCAGTTCCCAGGCCCAATTCTTATTTACACTACATCAAATTCCGAAACAAAAAAAGAACCCATTCCAGCAAACGCCAAACAATTCCCAGCCAAACCCAACCGACCCCACTCTGCTTCTTCTTCATCATATGAGAACAACATGCAGAAGGCTGCGAACAACGACCCCATTTTTTCTTCATCGCATCGGAAATCACGGACAACAACAGAAAATCGCGAGAAACCAATTCCCTCATCCAACTACTCCACAAACCCATAACCCTAGCAACCTAATCGATCAAATCGTTGTTCCCTTTCCCCATTTTCAGGATTTTTCAAATCCCTTTCACTGTTCCCCTTGGAAAGGAAGAAAGAAATTCAAATTTTGTGTGAATTTTTTCCGACGGATTCCCCCCCCCCTAATCACCCCAATTTTCCCTATAAATAACCCCCTACTCTTAGTTATGAGGGGATATGTTTTAGAGCTTGGTTCTTTGACAATACTCATTTTACACTCAAGAAACTTTAGAACGATTCTCTATCCTGGGGATTCTTGGTTTGCTATTCGTATTCGAATTGCGTGGTAAAAGAATCGCCGCTCTCAAAGCTCGTTATCGTCCTGCTTGCTGCTTCGGAAAATGTAATATTTCTTCCAAATTTTTTAGTTTAATATGTTGTATATTCTGCATATAGAGTAGATGTAGTTTTATTCTAGTAGTCTTCTTCCTTCACTATCCATTTAGTCTACTAGGATTTTTCTTTATTCTATCTATTTTAGTTCATCACGAATGTTGTCGAGTTAATACAAATGAGCATGATGTGTTGAAATAGCTACTAGGTATGCCATTTTGAATTTTAAATTGAGAAAAATGTGTATTAGATTCTTTAATTTGGCGCCTCTTTATTCCGGTTAAAAGTCCTGTTTCGTTTACATTGATTAATTAAAAAAAAGGAGATGTTGTTTTCTTTTGGTATAATTTTAAAGTTTGGGATTATTTGAAGTGTTCTAGCTTGTATGAAATTTGGTTGGGTGTCCTCATGGTTTACAGGATTTCACAGCTAGATAATGACTAATTCTATTTTGTTAGATCCTCTATTCTAGCATAATTTGAGCTCGTTTTTATAGAATCTTTGTTAAAATCTGATTTTTAATGCAACCCGGCGTTCTATTTTCTGGATTTTCCTTTGATTAACCAAAAATCTGATTTGGTTCTAGCTTAGAACGAGTGTTAGATTGTAGTTTGTCTTGAAGTCATTTGTTTAAAATTCAACACTAGTCTAAGCCTTGATTAACCGACTTCGTCCAGTATAGATTGTCATATCCCAGATGCTATCATGTTTTCAAATTCAATTTATATTTGTTTAACTTTGTCTTGTTTTAAACTTGCCGTTTTAGATATCCTCAAGTTATTTCTGTCATAATTTCTTTCCAGTTGCTTTCTTGTTCAATACAAATTGCTTTGATTTTTAAGGAACCATGTTGCTATCTTAAATTTGAACTTTGTTTTCTCTACATGGCATACTCGAAAACTTAGTTTTTTCACATGCCTTAGCTAGTTTGCTGCCTTGGTTTTTGCTAGGCTTTATTTTGGAGTTTATTTACTGTTTTCTATAGTACTATCGATTAATGTAGCCTTAAAATGAACAAGTTTAGTTAAGATGTTTAAAATATAGCCTTAAAATGAACAAGTTTAGTTAAGATGT